TTCTAGTCGAGGGTCCAGATCAACACACTTTCTAGAATACCACAAGTTTATGCATCAAAACACAAAAATGCCCTGCTGCAAACACGTGGTGATATATTTTCCAGAAATAGCTACTGCAAAAATTTTGATGAAGATTGGTTGTTAAAGAAGAAAACACGAAGAAAGGAGGAACAGTCATAATAATTTATTTTTCATGTGGTTGCATTCCTAAACACCTTAGATGACTACCAAATAGCAACACTCTTCTTCAAGGTCATATCACAGTAAAGGCCCAATCTAACAATTTATAGCATATTCCTTATCCAAGATAAAGATGAGGACAAAAGCTCGTGAAAATTTTTATGATAAAATTTAACATTTCTTAATCTTTAAGAATTCATCGATAAATTCTTCCTCTCCATCATCGGGTTCATCTCTACCAACAAACAAGAGACCAGGAGATAGAATATAAAATTCTTCCTCTCCATCATCGGGTTCATCTCTACCAACAAACAAGAGACCAGGAGATAGAATATAAAATTCTTCCTCTCCATCATCGGGTTCATCTCTACCAACAAACAAGAGACCAGGAGATAGAATATAAAATTCTTCCTCTCCATCATCGGGTTCATCTCTACCAACAAACAAGAGACCAGGAGATAGAATATAAAATTCTTCCTCTCCATCATCGGGTTCATCTCTACCAACAAACAAGAGACCAGGAGATAGAATATAAAATTCTTCCTCTCCATCATCGGGTTCATCTCTACCAACAAACAAGAGACCAGGAGATAGAATATAAAATTCTTCCTCTCCATCATCGGGTTCATCTCTACCAACAAACAAGAGACCAGGAGATAGAATATAAAATTCTTCCTCTCCATCATCGGGTTCATCTCTACCAACAAACAAGAGACCAGGAGATAGAATATAAAATTCTTCCTCTCCATCATCGGGTTCATCTCTACCAACAAACAAGAGACCAGGAGATAGAATATAAAATTCTTCCTCTCCATCATCGGGTTCATCTCTACCAACAAACAAGAGACCAGGAGATAGAATATAAAATTCTTCCTCTCCATCATCGGGTTCATCTCTACCAACAAACAAGAGACCAGGAGATAGAATATAAAATTCTTCCTCTCCATCATCGGGTTCATCTCTACCAACAAACAAGAGACCAGGAGATAGAATATAAAATTCTTCCTCTCCATCATCGGGTTCATCTCTACCAACAAACAAGAGACCAGGAGACAGAATATAAAATTCTTCCTCTCCATTATCGGGTTCATCTCTACCAACAAACAAGAGACCAGAATACTCCAATAGGTATACGAGTCTAAACTATTTCCCTAATCTCAACAGGAAGTTTCTGGAGAATATTACTCAAAATATTCTTAAGAATAACCTGGTTACCTCCCAACGGGTATATGAGGTTAAACTATTTCCCGAACACTCCAATATAGTATATGAGTATAAACTATTTCTCAAATTCTTCGACAGCAGTTTTAATTTGAGACTTCGACAACGGCCACGCGATAAACGCAGCACCGGAGGAATTTTAGCTATTCTACAAAGCACTGAATAGGCTAAAAGATGAAGAAGTCAAGGATTGAAGCCATTCACAAACCGTTCTACGCAATTTCCTCAACGAAGCACTGGAGAGATTGCAGGGAAAGCTTATCATATCCAAAGTGTCCCAGACCCCTCTCTAAAAAAATGATGAGTCTGAGATACTTTGGAGGGGGTATCTGTAGACATCAAAAAATGCTTACAGACATTCAAACACCACTCAAGACGATATAGAAGAACAATATACACGTCATCAGCGCGACAGCTTGTCGTGTCGCGGCTTGGGCGCTGCAATCTAGGGTGCCGCGGCTATGTTAAAGGAGTGTTGCAGCAGTTACGAAACAGTTATATGATGATTTTTGAGGCCCACGTGGCAGCATACCAGAAACAGAACGTGTGCTGACGTGTACAAGCAGTTAAACCACGAAAAAGGTGGTTAAAGGTCGTGGGAGAACTGTTTCAAACACGTATGAACGTGGGTGTAACTGCCCCTTTAGCCGCGGCAGTGTCGACTGCCGCGCTCTTTGGCCGCGACAGTGTCGACTGTCGCGCCCTTTAGCCGCGACAACATCAGCTGCCGTGCCTAAAGAGACAGTTATTGACCGGCTATTTCTTCAGTTATCGTCTAAGGAGGCTATAAATATCCCCCTATGGCCATCATTGACAGGAGCTGAGCATTTTCCAGAGAGATTAGAGCAGAGAGCCTTGAGTTTTGGTGAATTAGAGCAAGAGAGAGAGTCTTCCTTCTTCACAAACATCCTCAAGAAGCTTCTAGCGAGTCCTAGAGAACTAAGCTCAGACTTGATCTTTGGAAGAGTGAACATCTTACATCGATAAGATATTCGCTTCAAATTCTTACTTCGATAAACGAAGGAAGAATCATTAAACCCCTCACGGTTCAATCAGAATCTGTGATTTGGTGGTCCACGAGTCAAAGCGCTCCCGGCACAGGCAAAGATCCCACGCAAGCAGCGATCCAAACAACGATCCTGCGTTTGTTTCTAAGAAGTTGTAATTTTCATTTTGTTGTGTAAAAGAGGTCTTATAAAAAGACTATTCCTTTGAATTTGTTGTAATCGACCGAAGATATAATGAATTCCACAACGAGAGCAACTTTTGACGAAAACACACCCGACTCCTTAGTTGATGAAAAACCCTTCGTACTTCCTCAGGATAAGACCAAGGCACAACCCTTTGGCCGACTCCCACAGTCGCCTCTCGGCCCTAGAAGAAAATGGAAGACCTAGTCAGCTAGGCACCCGACTCCTCAGTTGATGAAAAGTCCTTGGTACTTCCTCAGGGTAAGACTAAGGCACAACCCTTTGGCCGACTCCCACAGTCGCCTCTCGGCCCTAGGGAAAAATGGAAGACCTAGTCAGCTAGGCACCTGACTCATCAGTCGATGAAAAGCCCTTGGTACTTCCTCAAGGTAAGACCAATGTACAACCCTTTAGCCGACTACCACAGTCGCCTCTCGGCCCTAGGGAAAATGGAAGACCTAGTCAGCTAGGCACCCGACTCCTCAGTCGATGAAAAACCTTTGGTACTTTCTCAGGGTAAGACCAAGGCATAACCCTTTGGCTGACTCCCACAGTCACCTCTCGGCCTTAGGGGAAAAGTAAGACCTAATCAGCTCTCTTGGGCCTAGGAATAACCTCGGGGTCGATCCCTGTATCACCCTTCGATTAAGCAAAAATAAAAGAAAAATCTTTAAGAGTTTTTAAACACTCAAAACAAACCTACTTCTTCATTAACCCCCTTACAAAGTCAAAAGTACATTTACAATGACAAAAAAAGGGGAGAAAGGAAATATAACTAGTTCTTATTTGCTTGACCTACGAGGTCCTCTGGAGGTGGAGCGGCCGTATCGGTAAGTGCCGGACCCTATTGGCCCTGAACACCAACATCAGCGGAAGGATCAGGCATCGCGGGGGCTTCAGTCCCCTCTCCCATCAGTGGAGTAACAGTTGTCGGTTCCTCATCCTCGCCCTCTGAAGACTCGCCTTCATCACCCAACAACAATTTCCCCTCTCTCGCCTCGAAATCCCTAAGAAGATCGAGACAACAGGAGACTCGAAAGGGATAAAAGCTCCCAGAAGGAGGGTGCGAGCTGGGGGGTACTAAAGCGGCGAAATAATCAACCCCGGCTTTGCACGCTAAAGCTACGTCAAGTTTTCTAATGGGGCTGTGGTGCCAATCTTCAATTACTTTCACCCTATATGGCGCCGACCGTGCTTCCTTGAGAGATCGCCTCAGCTGCTCGATTGAGAAGTGACGCGACTGAACGACTTCCTCGGTGGCCTCTCTAAGGACCTTCTCAGAATCAATTCTACCCAGTCTCTGTTCATTTATTTTTCTCTTGCATCCGGCCACAGCCGCATCCAAACAAAA